TTTGGTCACCTTTCGTTTGAGTCTTTAAAACTTATGTTTTCTAAGTTGTTTAAGTCTTTGTTAGTTAGTAAATTGCAGTGTCATACGTGCCTATTGAGCAAACATTGTAGAAATTCCTTTCCTTTAAGAAATAAAAAATCTGAATTTCCTTTTCATATTGTCTATTCTGATGTTTGGGGCCCTATTTCTCTACCTACTGAGACTGGATATAAATATTCCATTACTTTGATCAATGACTACTCTAGATATATTTGGGTGTATCCTATGCGATCTAGAGATGAAGTGCCAAAGATTGTGAAAAACTTTTAACGAATGGTTTTCACTCAATTTCAAACTGAAATTCACATTTTCCAGTCGGACAATGCAAAAGAGTACTTCTATAGTGATCTCACGGAGTTCTTTGTTTCGTGTGGATCTCTTCATCAAAGCTCTTGTGCCAGGACACCTCAACAAAACGGTGTTGTTGAATGGAAAAATCGGCATCTACTTGAGGTACCTCGTGGTTTATTACTTCATATGAATGTTCCAAAACGTTTCTGGATGGATGCTATTATGTGTGTTGCATATATCATCAACCGTATGCCATCTCGGTTACTAGAGTATAAGGCCCCACATCAACTCTTGTTTCCTACAGCTCCGTTGTCCCCCATTCCAATGTGTGTCTTTGGGTGTCGTTGCTTCGTTCATAACTTGTCTCCTATTCACGGTAAACTCGATCCCCGTGCCACTCCTTGTGTTTTTCTTGGTTATCCGTTATTTCAAAAGGGTTACCGCTGCTATGATCTTGCTTCACGCAAGTACTATGTCTCCATGGATGTATCATTCTTTGAGAGTCAACCTTTCTTCTCGGTTTCTCCTCAGGGGGAGAGTAGGGTTGAGGAGAAACACACTCAGGTTCCCGACCCTTCTCCATTTCGGGTCTTTCTTCGCCGCCATAAGAGCCAGTAGAGTTCAAGAGTCGTGGAACCTGAAACTATGCAACCAATATCATCTGACTCTCCAGAGGTAAATCCTCTTCATCAGCCAGGTACACTTGTTCCCATTGATCTCTTAACATTGATCATCCTATTGGTAATGATCTTGATGTTCCTATTGCTAAGAGAAAGGGTGTTAGGTCTTGTACTACTAATCATCCTATCTCTCACTTTGTGTCCTATGGTCATATTTCACCTTCATACCATGCATTCCTTTCCTCTATTGATAGTGTCTCTATTCCTAAGAATGTGGCAGAAGTTTTATCCAAACCTAAATGGGCAGATGCAATGAAGGAAGAAATTAATGCCTTACACAAAAATGGCACCTGGGAGTTAGTGGATTTTCCTGAAGGGAATGAACCAGTGGGTTGCAAGTGGGTATTCACAGTAAAGCATAGAGCTGATGGTTTAGTAGAAAGATACAAAGCTAGATTGGTGACCAAAGGGTTTACACAAGTGTATGGAGTAAACCATGCAAAGACCTTTGCTTCCAGTAGCCAAGATGAATTCAATTAGAACCCTCCTCTCACTGGCAGCTACCCTTGATTGGGAACTTCATCAATTGGATATCAAGAATGCATTCTTGAATGGTGACCTAGAGTAAGAGGTTTACATGACTCAACTTCCAAGTTTTTGTGCCAAAGGTAGTGAGCAGAAGGTGTTCAAGTTAAAAAAAATCTTTATATGGGTTGAAGCAATCACCTCGAGCCTGGTTTAGTAGGTTTCATTTAGCAGTGCAACTGATGGGATTCAAACAATGCCACAGATCATACTTTATTTGTGAAAAAAGGTGAAGGGAAAATTGTAGCTTTAATTCTCTATGTTGATGACATAGTAATCATAGGAGACTGGAAAACTGAAATACAGAAGCTGAAGAAATTCCTAACCACTCAATTTGAGGTGAAAGATCTAGGCCCCTTACATTATTTTCTTGGAATTGAAGTTGCCCTCTCAAAAAGAGGCATCTTTATTTCCCAAAGAAAAATATATACTAGATCTATTAGAGGATACAGGCAAATTGGGAGTGAAACCAATTGATTCACCCATTGAACCCAACCATCAGCTAGGAGACAGTCAAGGGGAGTGTTTGAAATATGTAAAGAAGTTCCAGAGACTTGTAGGGAGACTCTTATATTTGTCTATGACCAGACCAGATATTGCCTATGCAGTGGGTGTTCTTAGTCAGTTCATGCATAATCCTAAGACAACTCACTTTGAAGTTGCAGAAAGAATCCTTAGATACCTCAAGAAGTTCCCAAGAGCTGGTTTGCTTTTCCATAAACATGGGCATTTGAAAGTGGAGGTGTATATA